TTTGTCAGGCATCAAATTCTTTCCTCACAGGAAATGGAAGACTTCATCCAGAGCTCTAGAGAAAATGGTGTGTTTTCTATTAGGTCAATGGTCAGTAAAATGACAGAATTAAGGGACAAATTGATTACATTAACAGTTGCACAGATTCCACAAAAAGTTTTAAAAAGTGTCTGTTTGGTGGACAAGATTTGAGTGCAAAAATTTTATTTGTCAAAAATAAATTGTTGGGCTGGACATGGCTCAAGTGGTAGAATGAATACCTAAAAAACACAAGTCCTGCATTCAAAACCCAGTAGTGTCAAGAAAAAGTAAATTGTTATATCTCAAATTCAACTTATAAATCATAAAACAGAAATAAACATGGCAGGGATAAAATAGAACAAAGGATGTCTTTATTGCATCAATTTGGGCATTAGCATTGTGAACTAAAAGATTACACTTAACAGGTGCAGTGAAAAGTTGGTATCAGAATGGAACTGCAGGCAGATACACAGCAGTCACCAAATTCTGCACACTATCCTTTCTTCATCTTCTATGCAGAATTCCTAACAACACTGTGTATATTACAATTATTATCAGAAAGTAACCAAATATTTATTAATAATTGGACCACTAATAATGCTAAGCAGGTTTTGAAAACAAGCTGAAATTCATCATGCAGCAATATAAGCCCAGGTCTTTCACGCACCATAATTTTAGTATAGGTTGATTCAGCTAATTGTTCAGGGGACTACTCAAAAAAAGTAGGCCAAAATTCACCAACCATGAGTCAATAGTTGTCTTTCAAAGGACATTTACATTAGGAGAAATGTGTTTCCCATGCTGAACAGGACCTGACCATTGTCTAAAACAGAGAGAAATACAAAAGACAAGGTAAAGATTGGACCTGACTATGACGTGGACCCTGTCATTAAAGAGTACCACCTAAGAGTTCAGGTTCCAAAACATCAGCCTATATCTCTTTCAGCTTGAGGAAGGAGAAGGGAAAGGGGAGTGCCAACAGGATGCAAATCTTGTATAGAAAGAAATTCAAAATCCCCTCAACTCAGTGAAGTGTATTAGTAACTTCTTGTCTAAAATATAGAATAAACTTGAGTACACTTGTGGTATGTGCATGCTTAAAAGCTACTTTTTAGTTGCCTGTCTGATACAGACTTCTCTCAATTAACATATGCAATTTTTTTCTGCAAACATGATGTCACTTTACTGTTCACATTGAATATGGAAAGTAAACCTTGAAATTATATTCCAGTTTATAAGGATGACTTGCCAATTTGAAATTCAGTTCCTTAATTTTGTAGAGGAGAGTAAATGATCTTGATCAATATGAGACACTCTTACAATTTGATAATTTTAATAGATTATTAAGTAAAAATTGAAAACAAGAAATTTCCTTCCCATATCACACAAAATGGAAGTAACAAAGTATTATCAAATTTTTAAATGAAAGTTAGAATAAAATACAAAAAATAAAAATGTAGCCAATTATTCCTAATTAGATACATTTAGCCACACTAGTATCATATTGACTGCTTTAAATTTCATGAATTCTTAAATTCGTCACATATCCCTTTTTCTAAGTAACTATATATGAATATGACTATATTGCACTCATTGATTATAAAGATAAATACAGACAAGTTAAATATTCTTTGTCCTTCAGTGATACTTATTATATTATAATCTTTTATCTTAATTTACTTATTATTTCATATCAAGTTGTTTATGTGATATTTTCAAATTTTGATATATTTGATATTTTCAAATAAACAAGGGTAGTAAATTGTGAAATTTCATTCAAAAAATAAGATATTTTCTGTATCAACAGGTTGTATGCAGATATGATGGCAAGAAATTAGACACCTTGGGATCCAATACTTGCCTATGCAAGTAGATTCCCCAGAATGACCTTCGTGGTAAGACTGGAAAATTTCAATAAGAACTTGACAAAAAGCTAGTCAGCAGGTAATAGAAATAAGTTGTATATTTACTATTCAAAACTAAGAAATAACACTAATTTCTTTGTATTTTTCAAGATTAAGGAAATGACAAAATAAACTGTAATTATTGTGATTTTAGTGTTCACAATCTTATTCTCTATGACAGAATCAAAGTATTTTTAGTTCAGGTGTAACTACCTCTATGAGAATTTATAGGAACTTTTGAATTGTCTCTGTCTCATACTTCTGAAGCCTACATTATCATTCCTCTGCTTCAGGAGAATTTCAAATGCCATTGAAAATAACATGCTATCTTCTCTTACCATGACCTCTGCATTTTCCACTGAATTAAAGCCACAAACTCTATCAGGAGGTGGTAACACATGACATAATGAAGCGTGTCATTGTTTTCTCTCATATCTGCACCACAACCATCCCACTTCTGCCTTGGACACTGTCATGACAAAATCAATGACTTCAGTATTTATTTATGAGAAAATATTTCAAAATGTGCCCACAGACCTTTTAAAATCGGCTCATGCTGTAAATTTACAATAGCTGTCTTATTTTTTCCTTCTTCATCAATATTGTTTTCATTTTTCACTTTCAAGTTACATACAAGTTATTCTATAAAATGTGCAGTTAATTCTCTAGTAGACTTAGGTGCTTCTTGTACTAAATTATAAAACTATTCTAATACATGAGTGTAATAATCTATAATCTAGAGAACACTGTCTCTTACACCTTTTAAAACTTTATAATTTGCTTTTCTTACTTCATTTCTAAAACATATAATTAATAATTTTGTGGAAATTCAGCCAATTATAGGTCAAATGAAAACTAAACTTTCATAACTCATGGTGGAACCAATGGAGTCTATGAGGCTGTCCACATCACGGGATCTCTATGGTGGGCATTCCTTTGTTTGTGGATCAACCTGATAACGTTGCTCATACGAAGGACAAGGGAGCAGCTGTTAGAATGGACTTTACCACATGTCAAGTACAGACCTTCTTCATGCCTTGAGACAATCATTAGTGGCCCACTGTGAGTATAGCTTCATTATTTTTTTAGGTAGTATGAATTGAAAGTTGTTCATCATCAGTGATTATGAGTTTCTTCCCTTTTGAAGGAGGCTTATTTTATAAGAATTTAAATTACTGAATTCATTTGAAATGTGATTTTATTTTCAGTATGAAAGTTATTTCAAATTTTCATTTGATATCATAGATTAAATACCTAATCACTTACTGGAATGATTTTTATAACAAATAATTTTGAATGTACATAGCTACTTTTAATAAGGACAATACTTTTTAAATATGATTTAGTCTACTTAAGAAAGGAATGATGAACTTGAGGATTAATGGCAAAATGCTTAAATGGTCAAGCTAAAATTTCTAAATATTAATATGCTCAAAAATCATTTTATTATTATTATTATACTTCATTAATAATATATAATACGTAAGATTTACAAGGTTAATTTAGAAAATTTAAATACATACACATATTTATATACATATATAATATAGTTTCAAGTCTTGAAACTCTTACATAGAATATCAAGGACTTTTACACACCAATAAATAGTGTGATGTGACATTACAAACATTTCCCCAGTATACAACTACTGTGTGAATAATGATAAGAAAAAAACCTCTGTAATTTACATTTAAGTGAATGCCTGAATAATAAGGTAATAAAAAAATTTGTAGGGTATCATGAAGATTGTGCAAGTAAAGGAAAAGAGAACATGAAAGTTGTTAAAAAGATATCAAATGAACACCATTGGTGACTTCAGTGTATAGCTCAAGAACAAATGTAATGAGGCAAATGTGTAGTGATTGTTGAAAATGTTGCCAGTTCTGACCATTTAGAGTCACTGAGTCCAAGAACAGAATATGACCATTTTTCAATTGTCATGAGAAGTAGATGGATGTTTTAGGAAGGTATTATAATTTGACTGATTCTACTAAATACTCATTTGGGCTACTTGGAGAAAAATGAAACAGAGATGGCAGAAGAGGATAGTGGAAACTGTGATATGATTAAGGTGTCATTTCATCCACCATTACACAACTCCTCTTTAAAAGCCTCCAGAGAATCATTCTCAAATTGCATCTCTATTGTTTCAATCATCTGACTTGGAATCACTCACTCCCACTTCCTCTGATGGAAAATATTAATCTTTCCCTCTTGATATTCTATTCACTTTGGAAAATATTTGTTAATCAGAACATCCTAATTAAAAACAAAGCATTGTACACAAAGGCAAAAATCCAGCACTTGTACAGTAACTCTATTTATTATATCTATATTAAATCATTTGTAAGACAGTTTTCAGAAACTTTCAATGACTTAATATGCTGACTTTCCCTTTAATGTTAGTATCTTTCTGATTTTCCCTCAAATACATAGAGAATGCTATGAGGTTATCTAGAATTCACCACTATCACTCAGAAAAGCCTCTGGAACAAGCTGTGTTCTGGATTGAGTTTGTCATGTACCACACAGGAGCCAAGCATCTTCACTCAGGTGTCCATGACCTCACATGGATCCAGTACCATTCCCTATATGTGTTTGGGTTATATGTGTCTGTCTTGTATGGCAATTGTTATATTCATCACCACAAGATGTTGTGTTATTTGTTGCCACAAGTATACTAAAAGTGAAAAAAAGTAGAAAGGGACTAGTTGCATCTAAGTCTGAAGGGGGAATTCTTAGAAGAGGAAGTTGTTGTGTGACATTCTTTACTATTCTGATGCGAATCTTTAAAACTTACATTTAATGTCTGTTTAAGACAGAAATGGTTTAGGACAAAGGATAATATTCTGGGAAAAGGATGAATAAATCCCTATGTGTTTATTTTGAAATTTGTGCTTGTCATAAGTTATTCCACACAAAGTTGACTGTGGTTACGAAGGTTGACTAGTTTTACATGGACACAAGACCATCGAAAAGTTTTTTTGGTATCAGTAGGTTTTGCAAATACTCAGCCTGCTCGAAGTTTTTTGGTGTAGGTTTTTGTAGTTTTACTATTTCTAAAGGAATATTTACATTTAAACTTGTGCAGCAAGGTTCACTTGTTCCATTTTACTTGGGAGACCAGTAGTGCTGCTTGCGTTCACTGGAACTCCAGCCTCAGTACCAATTCTTTCCTAAAAACAAAAAAACAAAACAAAGCAAAACTTATCAGATATTTATCCAAGCAAGGCCTTTTTATTCTTTTTTCATACATTTATTATTATTGTTATTGTTATATGTTGTGACATTTAAAGTTCTTACACTACATCATAGTTGAATTCACCCCCTCCATCATTCTCCTTTACCTGCCTCCCCTCATTCCTGGAATAGTTTCAACATGTCTCATTTTTCCGTTTACATACATGTGTACCGAATATTTCCATCATATTCACCCTCCATCCCCCTTTCCTTATATCCTCACCTCATCCATCAAGACCCACCAACCAGACAGGAACTGTTTATCCTTTCTGTTCTCTGGGGCTTTGTGCTTGCTAGATTGGCAGTCTACCACTTGAACTTCACCTAGAGACCTTAATTGTTTTATTTGTTTCTCGTGCTTGGGGACAACTTGAACCATGAACCTTCTACCCTTCTATGTAGCTGGTATTATAAGTGTGTCCCTCCATCCCTATCTCATTTCTTCAAGTGGGGGGTCTTCTTGACATTTTACCTGGGTTTGCTTTGAAAGACCATCTTCCAAATCCTCACCTCTCAGTAGCTGAGGTTACTGGCATGCCCAACCATACCTGTCCAAAAAATTACTTATTAAAATGAATATACACATTCAAAATAACTAGTTGAAAAATTTGATGTAATGTTATGAATATTAGCATCATTCTTTTTTCCTAATGTTGTTTTAATTTTTTTCCACGTTTGTCTTCTTTTCTAAATGGCAAATTATAGTTCTACATATTTATGGTGTACAATCTTCTTAGATATGTACATTAAAATTATAGTATGATCAAATAAGCTAACTAATTTGTTTCCCTCATGCACTTGTTTTTTCATTAACATCTATTAATTTTAGACAGTAATAGTTTATAACATGACATTTATACACATGGTCATATCATGTATTATCATGTTCTCCATCCCTTTTATACTTTCTCATACTCAACTCTTTTATTGTCTCTTTGGACCCCCTCACATTCTCTAAAAGTCTCTCCTTTTTCTTTACAAGAGTTGGATTTTTTTTTTTATTTATTATTGTTGTGTCGGGTGGGGATACTTGGGGCATTTACAAAAGTTGTTACAATTTATCAAATATATCACACTTGAATTCATCCCCTTCCCCATTCTCCCTTAATCCTCCCCTCCACCATTCCTAAAACAGTTTCAATGGTCACCATCTTTTATTTGCATGTCTCCATACACATTTTTGTTCTATATTCACAGTCTCACACCCTTAACCTATGTCCTACCTCCTCCCAGTGGTACCAATCTCCTCAGAGGACCTGTTCTGCTCTCTTGTTCTCTGATTTTGTAAAAGCAAAAAATGCCATTTTCATTTGTTTAAGATTACAAGTAGTTTCCTTGTGACATTGTCATATAAATATGTGTATATATATATATAGATATAGATAGATATCAAGTAATTTATTTAATCATAAGTTACTCTTTTGTAGACTTCTCAAAATTATAGAAATAATACATAATGTACAAATTAAAATAATTCTGTAAATATCTTACATATAATAATTTTCTTAATAAAATTATGATAAATAACTGAAATGAGTCCAATGGAGTGGCTCCATTTAAGAAGACATTCAGTAAAAAGAGTTTAAGTGAAAATTCTGAGTACAATCTTTCCTGACATACTGAATCCACGTTTATATCCTTGAGATCATCTAAGAGTTTTTATCCTTCTGCCACCAACACAATCAAATTTTTCTTATATGTGGTGGCTTAGAATACAAAAGATACATTTTAACTCCTTTATTGGTTTATCCAAAACTACAAGTGAGAAAAATATAATGGAGGATCAACAAATGTAAAAGAAGCATTACATTGCAATGAGGTCTATGCAGTGGGAATTCAGTTCTTCTGATAATAGAACTGATATGTTATTTCAGTTCTGGGAGTTTTGGAAATGTAGTGGTTTGGCAAAAGGAATACAGTCATTGAATCAATGTAAAGACAATCCTGGAAGACCTTGGCAAGAGAGGCAATGAGCTGACTGTCCAACTTGTCAGTTTCCATTCTTATTGATTCTAGCAATTCATCAACTAACTTTTCTGCATTTGATGTTCAACTTGTATGCTATAAAATCAGTAGAATTTTTAATGTGAGCTTATAAAATGTAAATATAAATCTCACAAAGACTGTGGAAAGGCATATATTATGGAGTCAGAATGTTGTGGTCAACAGACCACAAACAAAGACCAAAAATCGTATGTTCTCCCTCATATGTGGACATTAGATCAAGGGCAAACACAACAAGGGGATTGGACTATGAGCACATGATAAAAGCGAGAGCACACAAGGAAGGGGTGAGGATAGGTAAGACACCTAAAAAACTAGCTAGCATTTGTTGCCCTTAACACAGAGAAACTAAAGCAGATACCTTAAAGCAACTGAGGCCCATAGGAAAAGGGGAACAGGTACTAGAGAAAAGGTTAGATCAAAAAGAATTAACCTAGAAGGTAACACCCACGCACAGGAAATCAATGTGAGTCAATGCCCTGTATAGCTATCCTTATCTCAACCAGCAAAAACCCTTGTCCCTTCCTATTATTGCTTATACTCTCTCTACAACAAAATTAGAAATAAGGGCAAAATAGTTTCTGCTGGCTATTGAGGCGGGGGAGAGGGAGGGGGTGGAGTGGGTGGTAAGGGAGGGGGTGGGGGCAGGGGGGAGAAATGAACTAAGCTTTGTATGTACATATGAATAATAAAAGAAAAATGAAAAAAAAAAAAGTATCTCAGAACACTGCAGGATACAACTCTGTAAGTGAAATCCATAAGGATATTCTATGCAAAATTATAGATATATTAGTATACAGTAAGAACATCTCATTTGCAGATTTATACATATGATGATCAAGTTCATTCAAAAAAAAAAAAAATTCAAAAGCAATTTCAAAAACACGTGGATGCCAGGTGGCTCACACTGTAATCCTGGTTACTTGAGAGGCTTAGATAGGAAGGATCATGGTTCAAGTACAGCTTGAACCATACAAATAGCTTGTGAAACTACATCTCCAAAAACATAACCAGACAAAAATGTACTGGAGGTATGCTCAAGCAGTAGAGCACTAGATTTTTAAGTTCAAAACTCTGAGTTCAAATCCCAGTTCTACCCAGTTTAAAAAAAAGAAATTTCAAAACAAAAAGTATAAACTCCATTGCACACAGTATTCCTCTTAGTTGATGAGGAGAAACTTTCAGTCAGATCTTGATTTTCGTCAGTTGTTTTTAAATCCTTGCATGATTTGTCATGTTTCCCTGCTGTTAATATTGTGAAAATATGCCTCCCCAAATCAAATGGTACCTGAAGGCAAGTAAAAGTTAATGTGCTTAATTTCAATAATAATGTGAATATTTTATATTTGTTGAAAAACAGGATGGCTTTATTTGGATGGCGCCATGGGAAAAATCAATCACATATCTGCAGTACTCAAGATATTTACCATTTATTAAGATCTAAATGGTGACTTTTTGGTGAAGCAGTATTATTTGTACATCAGTAATTTTATGACAATAATTTAGCATGCCCCATGTGATTTCAAATTAGGGATAATCATACTTACTGTATACACAGTTAGATAAATTTGAGTAACTTCAGAGTACTGAACTCTATGAGTCTTCAGCATTCCTAATATTTCCAAACTGTTAGTATTCTTGGAGCCATATATCTGTGAAAAACAAAATTTTACCCTACTTATATTCACATTTAATAGCCATAACCCTAAAACTTACTAAATGTCTTAATGACCATACTCACAGGCATTAAGTACCTACTAATATAACCATCAGTATGCTCTATGTAGTATCAAGAAACTTGTTTCTTCTTGTGTAGATCAGCATTTACTTTGAGAAATTAAAACATTTATCTTTATTACCATAAATGTTCCTTCACAGTTGAGTAAATGGTGTGCCCAGTCAAAACACAGCAACACAGAAAGCTATAAATTCAGGTTTCTCACACTTCTACCTTCTTTTAATAATTGCATAAAGAAAGTATTTATTTATATTATTAATTTCCTAATATGAACTAAGTATAGTGGTAGTGACTACAAATTTACTCATATTGCCAAAAGCTTCAGAGTTTACTTGATAATATAGAATAAAGGGATAGCTTACTAAATTGTGGAAACTAGACAGAGTATTCTGGTAAAGTTTTGTGCAGGTATGATAGGAAAAAATGACTGATGGGCCCATATATGTCTCTAAACTTAAATCTGTTATTAAGTTTTTCAACAGATTTTACTTATATATTTATGAATAATAGCCATAAACATATCAATTATTGTTTGCCTAAATAAACATATATAAATTTTATCAGAACACAGACACCTTCAACATCTTACATACATTATTGTAGTTCAGTTTAGAAAACTATGTGTTATGTTCAAAATCTATTTTTTCATTATCCTCCCTTTCACATGCTTTTTTCTAATCAGAAAAACCCTCTACATTAGTTGTTGGAAGCTGATAGTTACTCATTTGAACCAACTGGTATCTGATATTTCCTCATTCACCCATTCTAAATTCAGATATTGTTGAAGACTACACTGCAAATGTGCTTAACTCTTGTCCAAGGTAAACCTGCTCTTAATATGATTGGTTTTGTTTTTCTTTTCATATATTTCTGGTAGATATAACTCCACATTTCTTATTCAGTGTTTGGCTAGGTGGGAGAATTATGAGTGATTAGGTAAAAACATCCACAAGAATATAGATCCAGAAATTCTGAAGAAAAGTCTAGAAAACAAAATCTAGTAAAACACAAATGTATTACATATATTGTAAAATGGCTATATTACTAAAGGAGATCTAAAAATTCAAATCAATTCCAGTGACTTTCTTCACAGAAATGGAAAGAAAATGAATTGTAAAATTCCTATGGAGAACAAAATACTCTAATTGCCAAAACATTCTAAGCAAAAAAAAAGCAATGTTGGAGGTATCACAAATGTAAGGACAGAATAGAATTAAAGATCACAACATATAAACCCACAGTTATAGTTATCTGACTCTTGACAAAGATGCCAAAAACATACAAAGAAAAAAGACAATATCATTAAAAAATTATGATGGGAAAACTGGATAAACACAAGTTGAACACAAATACTAGATTCTTATCTCTAACCCAGAACACGAATCTATTTATGATGGAATAAAGGCTTAAAATGTGACTTAACAATCTGAAGTTACTGATGTAAAACATAGGGAAAACACTTCATGATTTACTTATAGCCTAACTTCCTTCCCAGTGGCACAGGAAAAATATAAAAATTGACTAATGGGACTGTTTGAAATTAAAAGCATGGAAAATTACCATGACTAAAAGAGCATGGAATAAGAAGACAGCAAAACAAATGGGAGCAAAATCTTCACCAGTTAATTGAATAATGAAGAATTGATTTCCAGAATATACAAAGAGCTCAAAAAGCTGAAATGTATAAGAACAAATGATCTAAATAACAAATAAAAATGTTAATGAAATTAACAGACAGTTCTCAAAAGAAGAAATACAAATGCAAATTAAATATATGAAGAATTGAACAATGTTCATAGTCATAAGTGAAATATGAAGTCAAATGGCACAAAGATTCAATTTCAGAATGGCAAACATCAAGAAAACTAACAAGAGATGCTTACAAAGATGACAGGGAAAGGAGAACCTCAGATAATTTGGTGGAAATGCAAACTAGTGCAACTTCTATAAAAATCAGTATGAGCGCCCCCAAAGCTAAAAATAGATCTATCTTTAGACACACCAAGGACAACATTTGATAACATACTTGAAAGAAGGTAAATCAATACCCAAGATACATACGTGCATAGCAATATTTATTGTACCTGTGTTCACAACAAAATTGTGGAATCAGCTGAGTTGTGTAAAAGCTCAGGAATGAATAAAGGAAACATGGCATAAACCAAGCCCCAAATCTAATATCCCATGTTTTTCACATTTGTGAAATGTAGTCCTAGAATAGTAGTGAATGAGAATAATAATGGAACATGAATGTGAAATGAAGATTGTCTAGGTGTGATTAGCAGGAGAGAGGATTGGGAAAGGAATGGATACTGAGGTGTAAAGAGGAATAAAGTGTCATAATTATATGAACTTATATATACAGATATATACATATGCACACACCTATACACATATATATGTATATATAGATGTATCTCTCTCTCTCTCTCTCTCTCTCTATATATATATATATATATATACATACACACACACACACATAAAGAATAATTAAATCCACAAAACATTGTTTAAGAGAGGACTCAGAATATTATGGCATTATGGACAAGTTGATCTTGCTCGAATACACTGTGCACACCTATGGGATGAATATTATGCTACGCCCTTGTATTATTATTGTTTGCTAATTTAAAAACAAAATTAAATTATAAACAATTAATTATATACAAATATATATTAATATACATAAATACATCCTATAAACAATTACAGTATATTTATATATATTGAAAATAAAAAAAGAACAGTGAAACTATACAGATCTTTGAATGTAAAGCCTTTCTTTGAATTAAGAAATGTTCTCTGAAAAAAAAATTTAAATCAGAAAATTTCATGAAGCTAAGGAAAACAAAAAACCAAAATGTTTTTCTGTGAGATATACCAAAAGCAGCACCAAAAAAGTTTATGTTAATCAATTCTTAGATTGAAAAAGTAGAAAGTTTTTAAATAAGCAAACTCAAAAAGTAAATAAAGCACAAAATAAGCAAGAATTAGCCCAATACAAATTTAAATAAAAAGAAATTTAATATATCAAAAGAGTAATTCACAAAAATGGAAACTAAAAAGCACTAAAATATCGATGAAAAGGAAGCTGATGAATTTGATAATCCATATATAAGAAAGAAGACCCAAATAAAATCATACGGGAAAAAAAAATCAATACAACTTCTACTAGATGAAATAAAGTGTTCATTAGGAACTATTATGAAGAAATCCAAGACAACCAATTGGTAAAGCTGTAAGAAATGGACAAGTTCTGGAAACATACAACCTCCTAAGATTGAACAACGAAAAACAGAAAAACCTTAACTGAACAATAAAGTGCTTAAAATTGATCTTGTCACATGAAGTCTCCCAAAAGAAGAATATCTTGGAACTGTACCTTCAATGCTAATTTAATGATGTGTTAGATGACAAACATCAAAACTTCTCAAACTAATTCAAGAAATTGAAAAGGAGAAAACTTGACCAAAGTATTTCTATTGAAAGGATGTGCCCTTTGCCCCAGCAGATCCCCATAGCAGAAACCAGTAAAGCCAGCACAGGATGCCCCATGCAGGATAAGATAAACAGGATGGGGGCAGGTGGAATGTGAGGAATGTGAGAAATGTGAGCAGATTGCAAAAGAGGACTAGAAGTACGTGCAAGATGTGCCCTGCCTGCTTGCTAAATGTAACCGTGTGCACGAATACTGACCCTTGAATCTATAGGCTAAGAAGTAATGTACTCTTAAATGGATAGGCTGGAAATGTATGTGGTGTTACAAACTCATTGGCTATGTACTGTGCGGGCTTTTGCTGTAATGGCTGGTAGGGGCCTATATAAGATCTTCCCTAAAGAGGCTCGGGGTCTTGTCTGCCCAATCGGACCTGTGTGTCTGTGTGGGAGCTTGACCCTGGCTTGCCAGCTCAATAAACTCTGCTTTGTTGATTGCATTCACGCGTGACTCTCTGTCTCTCGGAGGAATAGGATTCTCGGACCCTAACACTATGAATCCAACATTACCCCAATAGCCAAACCTGACAAAGTACAACAAAATATAAGAAAAATATTCCTGAAGAAAATGCATGTGTATTAAAAAAACAGGGTAGTGAAACAGGACAGGCAGAATACCTCAAACTTTGAGTCCTTACCTAGCATGCACAAGTCCCAGCTACTGGCCAATGGAACTGCAAACAATTAAAATACAAACAAAATCTGACAATACATCACATCAAAAAGATTATACAGGAGGATCCAAGGTGGCAACTGGAGGGCAGAAGCAGACAGTGTGAGCACTGTAAATCAAAAATTTTGCTGAGACGCTGAAGCCACACTTTGCAGCAAAAAACCACCAAGAAGAATCAAAACTCTGACACCTTGAGCCCCCAGCCTGTACAAAGGTTCTCCATGCCACATTACACTGAGAAAACAGGAGGGCTCCCATGCTGCCAGGTACCTGCTCCAAACCTGCATGGGAGATGCAGACCAACAGGTGAGCAAATAAGTGGCATACAGTATTCCCACAGCTACCCCTGGGAAAAACCAGCATAGCTTGCTGGACAGACTGACCCCTGTCCTGAAAAAAAAAGTCTGAATAATAAACAAGGAATGGAAAAGGAACATGCAGCAGAGGGAGAGGGGTTCTCCAAGCACACTGGAGAAGGGGGGAAGGACAAGGAGCTAATCTCTGCAGGAACTTTCAGTAAACAAACACTAGAAAGGCAGAAGGGCCAACAGTGGGCTGGTGATAACCCACTGCCTGAAATAAAGCAGATACGGTCCACAAAGCTCATCTCCTGAGCCAGAGCAACATCCAAAGTCAAATGACACTGCAAAATTGAAAAACAATCAACAAATCAGCTTAACATGCTGACAGCAGGGAGCCAGTTAACAGATTTCTGACCTTGCCCCAGAGAAAAGGCATGAGGCAAAAAAACAAGCCCCAATAAACCAAAGCTGTGAAAACCCAACTCCAAAGCAGGACTACTAGTGGGACACAGAGCTGATCTCCAGAACCTGAGGACAAGACACACCTCGCTGAGG